TTCTAATATCGCTCTTAATACTCCCAAAACAGAGTACATTAGATTCAGATATGTTTATACCATGACACCACTGTTTACAATGTTTATCAAAAGAATCGAGCATAACTTGACATTCTTTAGCTTCTGTTGATGCGAGCACAGCATATAGCAGTACAAAAAATGCGATGATAGTTTGTATACGATGCAAGTAACAGGTAGGTGTGTAGACAAACAGATGTTCTGAGTGTCGCCACAGGTAGACATAAAGGTGACCCTGAATATCAGGGCGAATGTCTGTTAAAGTTAAGTTGCACTTCCATACGAGTACTGAGATATGATAATGTGCACCTCTGCTTGAGTAAGTTACACGATTACTCTACCAATCTCCAGGAATTACTTAATTCCTCTGTCTTATATTACAGCATAGATCAAACTACCAAATATTGTTACACGTATTCATGATGAGATGAGGTGACCAAACTGTTTCAACTGATTCATGATATTTACCTGTACATTAACATTTAGTTATTACAATGGTAAAACAAGAACATACATGTCCAAGTAACATACATAATTATCTACCTCTATTATAATCAATGAGGCTTATTTTTGTTTTCTTTTTGTGAGCGTGATTGTTTGGTTCGTGAATACAACTCCTTTGGGAAATTTACCCTTTGTATGATAATTTGTTTATTGAGCTGATTATGATTAACTCTTTTCACAAGATTAACAATAGGCGTGTGATGTGTGATGGGTCTAATTATTAGGTCAAAACCATGAATGCCTCAATATCAGTTTATCTGAAACACTTGGGGACAAAATAGAACAGCATTCTTCTTTCTTCTGCGGTTCATCGAAAAAGATCGATGATTGGTTTCATATGAAACAATGTCGGGATAAAGCCCCTGTTCACACTCGCTGGGTTTTCTGCTGTGATGGATATATTAATTTTTGCTGTTTGGTGCGCCACAGATTCCACAAAGTGACAACGGCAGTGAATTTACCGCATCAGTCATCAGTGAGCTGAAGGTTATGTGACCAGATCTGTTGATGGTACATGGCAAGCCTCGTTATCCCCAAAGCCAGTGCAAAACCAACAAATGTAGATGTTACAGAGCAGGACTTAAGTGTAATAGCCGTTGTCATTCAAGATTGAATTGCCACAATAAATGAGTTCGTGTAAATTGATGATTTTGTTTGTCCTTTAAATCGAAGCTGTACTATTTGAGATAGTAAACATTTCATATCAGGAAGTGTGTAAAAAATCAGGCTCTCACATCAGGAAGTTTGCAAGATTTCTGAAAATTTCAGGAAATGTGTAATTTACTGAGTGAATCAGGAAATGTACACATTTCCTAAATATTCCAGGAAATTTACACATTTCCTGATTTGACACATTCACTGTTACATATACACTTATTTTTAGACTTTCTGTGACTGTTACAATCCGTCCAAACTTGTTTATATCCAGCAAATCACATACTGTTTTAAAAGACGGTGTTTTCTGTGACAATATGGAATACCGAGAACACCAGCAATAAACACATTGTTGAATTGAGATTCCAGCAGACTACACATTGAAAGACTAATTATTCCACTGGATACTTAACATCAACATTGCCATTTAGACTACCGAGTGTGTTTTGGTTCAACTTTCGAGTATATTAATTATGTCAAATACTGAAATGGCAAAAACAACAGGAACCTATAGTCCAAGAGTTTGGCAGATTCTCAATTATATTTTTTAGTATGCTGAGTATTTGGATGTTTTGTTGCTGATTTGCAACAATTAGCACAAGCCGTATTGCACATTACCACATATACCAAGTGTCTGGTTTTCTTATGGTAAATACAGTTTCCACGACACAAGAACGGAATCAGTCTTGATTTAATGCAGATTTAATAGCTGCGATTAGATGATTTTGTATGAAATTATTTATTTTGTTAAATCTGCATCCATCCAGTAATTAAAACCGACTAATATGTTTTGCAATATGGTGCTGTCTTTCATGATGATCATTCTCAAATGTGAATGTTAAGCAGCTGATCTGGGGTGATGTGTTCAGCTACGTATCCTGTACTTGTATTTGTATTGATTGCTGCTTTAAAGCAAGACTGTATTCTTGAAATAGCTGTTGAATTTTCTATTGAAGTTAGATGGAAAACGTTTGGTTTGGTCTAACATATAGCGAGAATAAACCTTTTAATAGTAATTCCTGTATATATTTAGGAGGAACTGATGGCGACAGAGGAAAAGAAACCGACTCGCAGCTAACAAATCGCCTCAGGCTTCTCCACGTGTGTCAGATGGACAAATAAGGTGTTTACGTTTCCTAGGCCTATTAAGAAGATTGTGTTCTGTCTCTATAGACAAGATTCACACAGAGAGATAAACTCAGACGGTCTTGGTCTATAAACAGGATGTCTCGTTGCTGAGAAATGCGATAGTCTAGACCACTGTCAACATCAGTTGGTCCAAAACAATGCTTGAGTTGCTATTTTGCTCCCCAAATGTCACAGACTTACGATTCCAGTGATTGAACAAGGTGGTGTTTAAGCTTGTTATTGGCATTGTGCTCGATAGCATCTTGTTTGCGACTATTCAGAACTGTGTTCAATCTTACAGAGGTATTAGTGTCCCTTGCCAATTTACATCTAAAGTGTGGCTACGGTTTTCATCCAGTGGTGTTGGTGTATGTTTTCGTTACATCCTATGACGTGTTCAGTGTTAAATCAGATTGGTTGTACTGTCAAACAAGGAATAAGTAAATATGCCATCAAACTAACAGCTACTGACTTATTCAACAATATCTCCACGTGCTCATGTGCATTTGTAATAAAAAGAACTTTCAAAAAGATGATTCACGCTTAAATTGAAAGTATGTTGTACGGACTAAAATGTCTGTCTGTCTGCCTGTCAGCTTGTAAGATTTCTTATTCCTTAATGCAGACACAAAAATACCTAACGACATTTTGTTCCCGTGTTTTGCGGTAAAAATGTTTTATTCCACGCTAAATTACGCTGTTAATCCAGCTCTGTAGCACACTATGAAGTAGAGTGACTGATTGTTGCATATTAAACAGCCTGTAACAAGGCTCAGTCATGTCTTAGTAAATGAATACACTCAGCTCAAAGGTTTATGAACTTGCAACAACGTCATATAATGTGTACATATGTTAAGTGTCCATCTTGTGGCATCGCTGGTGCTTATACATTCGAATCATTTAATACACGTTTGTCACTACCAATATAATGGATTAGTTATAGTGTACATGTGTTATTTCAACGATAATCATCCTGCACTTTATATTTTAGTGCATTGTGAAATCAGCATATTACGCGATGAGATTTTGGAAGAAAATTTAATAAGACTGTTGCAACAGACGGCATAACGAATATACTACTACATATTTATGACGTTCACCAACCATTTATATTTATACGCCCTTGGGCTGAAACACTGATACATTAAGGAAAACCAAGTTCTATGGATAGTCAACTTCTTTATTGCGATGAGTGCGACGTTTCGGTGTAGGTACTAACACCGTTAAAAAGCAAGTTATACAAAGAGTTGTAACATAGAGAATATATACATAGCTGCATAGTGAGCATGTACAATTTAAAAGGTTGATATTCATTCTCCATGTTACAACTCTTTGTATCACTATACAACTTCTAAAATGCCTCTCAAAGAAGTTAACTGATACATTAGTTTGACTGTTTTAGCCAAACTAAATGAACTTTTAATGTGATGGTGACAATCCCACTTTGAAAACTCAAAACCTTAGGTCTCCGATCTACGGAGCTAAAAAACTATGAAACCTACTGCCACTTGAGCTAACACTTTCACCACTGAAGTTTTCAAACGTCTATAAAAAAAAAATCCTTTTAGAACGTATTACAACATTTTAGCTAAATCACCAGACAATTTTAATCTTTCATGCACTTAAAACTGCTTTTAATCTTTTTCATATTTAGCTTCATCTTGATATTGTAGCTCTTTGAGCATACATTATGTTCAGTACGGAAAATATGCATATAATATTATTATTTATTTAATTTACCTATCTGGTCCTCATAGTGTCAGAACCACCTTCATGTCTTTCTATATGAGAACCAAAGGTCTTAGGGAAGACATTCACAGTCGACCACACCGATATTGACTCGGCTATGACAAAAGTTCATAGGGTACTTCTTGCCTCATGGGATAAGAACGCAATAAAATTATCCACGCAAAATCGGTTTGAAAATTAACGTTGATGTCCCATCCACCCTAACAGTACAGTTTAACCCGTTGATTAATTTCACTCTCATTAGCTGGCTGTAAAAGAGATATACTGAAGCCATTGCAAATCGGCATGTCAGAGAACACTTTTGTTACCATTGATCGCTTACAAACATTTATCCGAACATATTAGATTTGTTTCTCTCGCCTGATTAAATGCTTTTACCTTTTAATACTTATTATATTTTAAGAGTGTTTCATATAGATCATAGAGGGGCCATTACCAATTCAAATAAAATTATAAATGTATACAAGCAATGTCTTTTAACAATATTTCAGTTACATCACTACATGTCATGAATAAAAAAGGTTCATCAATTACCTAATTAGTAAATATTGTTTTCCGTCTATTTGGCAATTACGAAATATCATGGTGGCAAACACTATTCCTAATTCATGCATGAACATAAGACAAATCTACATACAAGTACAATGTACATACGGACATTTAGAGCATAGCCGTCAAGGGTAATAGTCAGTTATAATTTCCAAATAAAGATTTCTGCATTGAACATCTGAAGGTCTACTCCGCGTTAGTGCATGTATGTGTGAACTCTCTCGTACATTTCGTAATTGCCAAAGAGAGAGTTCACACATACATGCACTGACACAGAGCAATATAAATGGTAAGTAAATATTTACATACTTGCATCAATCCATTTGTCCTTGGGGACATTCCCACATAAAAACTACCATGTTCTAACACGTATCTTGTCTTATGTTGCCGCAGCTAACATTTTCTACGCTAACGGTTTCTTAGATATTCCAAGGAAATTTGTATCGACTGTTGCAAACCGACAATGTCTAGTGGGAGGAATTCCCTGACAGTGCAAGGAACAGAACTGCCTGGCTTCTGTTCTAAGCCGACGAGACAATTGGCCTGTCAACTGACTACAATGATTGTGCGAAAGAGTACATTATGACGCTCCACAAACGCTAAAAAACCTTTTTCCTTCAGTCTGATGCATAGTCTCTTGAGTATAAGGCACGACACCTTTCGGAGAATAGTGAATAGCACAAACAAGCGGAGGTAGGTCTGAACACAAGATAATCTAGAACGTTAATGCCGGGGACGCCCTTCTCGATTATCTCCCAAAACAAAATCCATTGGGCGTAAAAGACAATAAAGCCATGAACATTGTATGGATGAATTATTGAAACTCGGCGCATTACATGCAGGTTACAGAAGTCTTATATCCCAAATAATGGAAAATAAACGATACTGTTGCCTTAATGTTAGCGACCCGTGTAGATCCGGCTTAGCACACTTGTCGTAAGAGGCAACTAACAGGATTGGGTGGTCAGGCTCGCTGACTTGGTTCACACATGTCATCGTATCCCAACTGCATACATCGATCATCATGCCGTTGATCACTGGTTTGTCTGGTCCAGACTCGATTATTTACAGACTGCCGCCATATAGCTGGAATATTGCTGAGTGCAATGTTCTCAGCAATGTTCCGGATGTATGCTGTGCGGATCCCCAAAACTGCAAAAAAAAATGATATGTGACAGCTTTGCTTGAGTGTTTTTTTGTTTGTTTATTAAAGCCAGGGATCACAAAGGAATCAGTGTGTGGAGGAGGTGGTCTCCGTCACAAAATTGAGCTTTATCGAGAAGTACCAGAACGCCACCAGGAATTTGATGTCATAGCTTTATCGAGAAGTACCAGAACGTCCACCTTTGATGTCATACCATCAAAGTACTTTGTGCGCCAAGTACAGGATGAGGATGAGTTTGCTTTTGATATTTCAGATTTATATTTGCGTCTGTACATGTACTTATATATGTTTGTTTCAAACAGTCAGATGGAGATTTTGTAGTGCCAGTTGCCCTCTTACCTCTTTTTCTTTTACTCAACAAACCTAGAACATTGCCGTTATCAAAGATAGTTACATTTCACGATTTGCCCTTTGAACTGTTCTTATGTTACTTCCTGAGCTATAAACATTTTATCTTGGTGTTTCGTGTATTGACACATCACGCAGCCATTAATTTTCTTAGTGATCAAAGGATGATATAATGACGTGGGTGTACTATGTCCATTAGGGACGGTCTCTGCCGTGATATGATTAAAGGATACATATGACTAAGCTTAACAATACCCTGTCCATAACTCAAAGAACTATGTAATAAAACGTGCGCTAATGAATCACTAAGAAGTATTGATGATATCAGGTTATTAAATGCATGTCCTGTCCGGTCCTGTCACAAACACACAAAAAAGGCAATTCAAGTGTCACCTGAACAGACATGGAAACATGATGAACAAGTCAAAATAACGAATTCCATCTGACACCCATTTGGTCACAGATGCGTCTAATTTTAAAATTTAAAACAAACTACGAACTATAATCTACCTTTTGAAAGTTTCACTGCTTCCTTGAATGATGTAAGCTTGTTCAAACTGCTTTTTGATTCATCAAACGCTCTTGTAAAAAGTGTCCGTAAAAAGTGTATGCTCGATTGTCATCGTGTGATGTTGACACCAAAGGTCTGAGCTGCAGGAATATCGCTCGACAAGTGGGGAACATTGAAGTTGGGAAGCATGGAGTCATGCCTTTTCATGCAGTCGTATGAACAGTTTCTGTCACTCTGAATCTAAACTCTTTCGCAACTCTCACTTTCTGGCCTATTTAGTAAGCTGTCGTATGGAAATTGTTTAAGCATCCCGGTTCATAGACAGTGCCAAAGATTCAACTGGCGGTCCATCAAATCATTCTGAAACTTGATGCTTAAACTTGACTTCAAAGTGTTACTGTGAATAATCTGTTAATATGTCATAAAATTAACCAACTACACGACTTGATACAGGAAACGCCGATACAGGAAATATTTAGGCAGATTCCACCACTCTCGTCGAGATATGTATGCTGTTTTTCAGTAGAATTGTATGCTCTTCCACATAGGTCCTTCCAAATTATGTTTACACTTTATAAAACTGACAGGTTTATAGAATTGTTCTTAGATAGAAAAAGCATGATATTTTAAAATAATTATTGACGTATGCATGTGAAGCCCATATCAGCTCCATGCATGTCTGTCGGTTTTAAGGTGCAGTCACGCCACTGTAACAATATCAAGGCGGTCTAACAACTGACACTTGACCAGGAGAGGATTTATCTGTGATTTATAGTTTCATAGCTACTAGGGTATGACAACACACAAGTAATTTCATAAGTGTTCTTCATAGAGTATTTCAGTTAACATATGGAAACATGATTGCAATGCAATTCGTATCTATTCCTCAGACAACCAGCTAAAGGAATTTAATCATATGTCATCTTCTCTGCATTATATCTGTGTTTTGACCCCTCGTTGAGTTTCTAGTATTCAAAAGACGACATTACACTGAACCCAGCTTACATATCACATAACCGGAAATACATCCGGACCTATTACCGGTCTGACTTCACTACAGGGCACATTCATATTCAGCTTATTATTTCAAGAAGACATCTGGAAACTTCTTAATCTGCAGGATTTCGGAAATGCAGGTTTATGTGTCACATGTGGGTGGTACAATCTGGTTCTAAGCACACAATCACACAAGCAATTATAAAAGATAATCTGCCCGATAAGTTCAGATGCTGACCGCATTGCCATCGGTTGTAATTGCTGGTTAGTTCAGTTCTGATGTTCCCGGACGGCTGTATTCTGTTTCGTAGATCGATTGATGTATTAATATTTCAGACGTTGCAATTCCAAGAAACATGCCCAGCAGGGTAAAATAAACATGTAAAGCATGAATATTGTATTTATGGACCAACTACAGTGATTCATTCCTGTTTGGTACAATTTTCGTGTCATATTTCACGTCCCTCACGTGTAGTCATCGTCCTATTCCCTCTACATATAGAGTCATGACAATGTTCTTGGCCTTGTTTGGCCTTTGTGTAGGGTCTTAAGTGTAGGGTCTCGAAAAGAACGTTCCGTTTACTATCGTTTTTAGGGAACTGAAAGGGACACTGATCTAGAGCAATTCCCCGGGACTGGTTGTTGCTTTTGTTATTGTTTTTACCCCGCGACTACCCGGATGATATCCCATAATTCGCAACTGGTTTGCGACTTCTGCTGCGCCACTCGCAAAAGCAATTGGTGAGTGAGTGAGTGAGTTAAAATTTAAAGTCATTTCGGCAATATTTCAGCCATATCGTGACTAAATCAAGTTATAGATTAATATAAATGAAAGGTAATTATAAAAACCTGTCAACGAAGGACAGTTAAACAACTAGATTATCACAGATAGAAATTTAAAACTAGTAACTAAATCTAAAACATTTTAACTATAGAGGACAATACAATATAAAAACAGGCTATAGATTGCCAACAACTGAAGGTAGATCACCATACTGGGGACCATGGGGACTAACAGTACAGTTGCTTCCTGCGTGGGCCCCAGCTGGATTTACATCATCCCTTCAGCTGTTAGCAATTTAGAATAATCGAGCCATACATTAAAAAAACACATATTCTACGTTTAAAAATGTGGAGAGTTTTAATTGACTTTGAATGTTTTGGGGCTGACGTACCCTCCGAGGACAAAAGCAATTTGTAGTATAAGGGAGTATCCTTACACTGATCAACACAGATGAAATACAGTTTCGCCTTGAAACCTCTTCATTCGCCTCTCCATTCCATCTTCAAAACATTTTGCAGTTTAACTTCATCTGCCAGTGTAGTGGTACAAAATGCTTGGATTGAAGTCAATGTACGTCTTTATATTCTTGCCTTATAATCCTAGCATAATCAATTAGTATATACTATTAAAAAAAAGAAGCGCATAACGCAGAAATCTGTTGCGAAAATATTGTATTTTCAAACATGTATAACTCGTCCGCAAATAGACTTTAGTACATGAATTATTACATTGGTTTAGAAGAAGAAAATGTCTATACATTCAAGTTGATAATTTTAGATAACGGAAACGTTGAGTGCGATGATGCCGACGTAGCACGGTCCTGACGTCGGGGCTCCTGGCTCTCAGTCCAATCTCTCTCAACCTGTTCCGTACAGTTTGACCGGATATCCTCCGAAGCCCAGGCACCTTGGCTGCTGTGCTCTCACGCGTGGCTGTACGATCACGCAAATGTAGTAACCGGATGTACTGAACTTGGTCTGCAGTGGTGACTCTAGGTCTGCCTGCACGGTGACGGTCATTTGTTATACCTGTTTGGTAGTAAGGAGCTGCAAATAGTGATATCGTGCTCAAACAAAATTCAGACGCCTGGCAACAGAAGATTGTTAATCTCCAGCGTGGATTCTTTCAATGGCGATGCTCCGCGTCGCAACGTCAAAACGTAGCGTAGTCATTTGACCTTGAAACTCCTTCAAAACGAATGCCGATTTCTGAAAGTAGTCTGGATTTTTATAGCCAGACAGTGCATGCTCTTTGCTGCACAATTTCAACTGGAAGGTGATTGCTGTTGCGTTATGGTGATGCCTTTTTAATCCTTGTAAGAAATCTCAGCAAAATCAACATTTTCAGGTAAAGTCGATTTATTTTTTACTTGTGCAATTGTGTAAAATTATCAAAACTTTTGTTACATATTTTGACGATTGTCTGAACACAATAGGTAATTAATAGATTTTAAAAATACAAAACGCCTTTGCGTTTCATTTTGGGGATAGTATATGTTCATGCACTTTGGAACGTCATAGAAACGTTTTAAGTGAAGTTATACAATGACTGCAATATCTGGACATTTTATAGATTGCCACAATGAATCCCATTTTACACGCACACACGCCCAAGTGCGACCTAGTGCATGTTGTCTTTCTTGCATCTAAGAACTTCACGGCGAAAAAGAAAAAGAAGAATGATTTTGCGCAAGTTACATAACATGTAAATGCATTTGCCACATCAGACCTCATTTATAATGTTGAGTATTTAATCCAGACACGAGAAATGATAAATGGGTAAAGTTGTCGGGTTATAAATTCATTAACTGACCATCAAGTGAATGGTGACAAAGAAACAGGTGTAAGTTTATACCGCCAAACATGGGTAACAGCAAGGTAAGTATAATCACTGTATTGCATGCCATTAGATGACGACGCTATTTTGAGGATATGAACGGAACATCATTGATGCATATGAAATGCATTTACCTAAGTAAATGTTTAGATTTTTCTAGCAATGGCAAAGTGATTTAGTTTACACATTCAAATAAATCCAATGTGTGTTTTTAATATAATAGGTCAATAGTAGTTTTGGGAATTGGATGAAATCTCACAATTGATAATTGGCTCATTGCAAATGAGCAGTGATCGAAAAAATTCGTAAGCGTCATTTTTTCAGATTTTCCTATTCAGTTTCTTATTGCAGATAAGTATAACATGGTTCTCTATCGATTGCCTATGCTTTTATACTTTGCGAATGGCTTCCGATAATCCATTTAAACCGTATACTAGCTTGTCTAACATGAAGGAATCGATTTTAGAACACAGTTAAGAAATATACACACTTACGATTGTGTCACGACCTGCAGGAAGTTGTCGAACTGCCACCGTATGTCAGCTTCGGTAATCTAAACGAACATTTCTGTCAGCATATTTGGATGCAAGTGTTACTAATTATCAACGTCAGATTAACGCGACAATGTTTTGCGAGTGAAGTTGCTTTATCACATCCTTGAACAGTGTTTAAGGTAAGCTGCACCATACTCATACTTGATGGGTTTGACAAATGTGGTAAAGGTTTGAAACCTGCATCACTTTGGGCTCTCCTATGACCTTCACATGCCGTGATATGACGTGTAATACCGTTAAAAGCAGAGTAAACCAAAACAACACTCAGCGATATACATCTTTCAGATCTGTGAAGTAAGGTGACGGTTTAGGGATCTAGTGCATGTGGTTTAGGTCCTTGGTTCTTTTATCTGAATATTACAATACCAATAAACAGTATCTTGAATACAGAATGCATTCGTCTGTTTTCTGTGTGTAATAAAGTATTAGAAAGTCGATAAGTGGGATATTCAAACTGGCGTCAGTTTTGTGTGAATGGAGGATGCTGCCGTTAGGGCAGTACATGCTTACCCTCTTCACCAACACCTGGCACCATCACTGATTGTAGTCCATTCATATGATTTTCACAACTATTTCGTCCTGTACGCTAAATGGAATCTATTTCTGAGGTTAGTCAATTCTGGGTATTCTTTTACACTGATGTTTTATATTAACTTCACAAACATCCAATATAAATGTGGAAACAAACACACCATTTCCCTCGAAGAGCGTTGGCGAGGTAATGTATATGTTTAATTGCCCGTAGAGGTGGCATAATACAAGCAGTAGGGATGCGATAACAACAGGAATCTTTGAGAGAAACTTGCAATATTGGTTCCCTTAAGCTGGATGGAACTTCCATGTTTAGAAGAGTTGCAGTGGGCCTTCGCTCTGGTCCTGCAATGATTAGTCCAACGATGTGTCTGCTAATTGACCACAACCACTAAAGCGAACTTACACTTGAGAGTATTTGCCGGCGTCTAAATTTGTTGTGTGTTTAAGAAGCCCATGTTTCTGGTTTTCGATTAGCTAAAACACATTTGAATTGCTGAGATTCTATTTCTATTGAAGTATCTCTTCAAACCAGAGCAGAAAGAAAATACTTGGTGAAAAATTATTCAGCTGTTTAGTTTAGTCTTTATTGTTATTTTGTTTGAGATGTTCGATGTTCGTGGCATATGGAATAGTTATGAAATGGACTGCTATAGCATGGTATCACCAAACTGTATGACATTCTTGGATTGATTTCAGGGGGCAATTTACCAATTTTCCGGTCACATTATTTTGAAGTGATTGAACTCGAATTAAAGGATGCTCGTTTCCGGGTTTATAAAAGTAACGCAATGTTTGCTAATCATGTTTCCTTTTTAATATCAGCGTGTCACTAAAATGAAATGAGAGTGAACTTGTTATCACTTAACATCGTTATCTGACATCATGTAATTATTGCCTTCACGAAACCGGTAACTGTTGCAAAACTTGTTTGTCCTAAAATCTTAGACCTCGGGCAATGCAGTAATTTTTGGTTTAGGTTAAGGAGGTTGCGTAGGCATTGCGACCTCGGGCGGCGTGATGCTCCGTCAGCGCTGACATTTAACAGGGAATTTATCTACTCGAACTACAAACATGATTTGGTTCTGTAAACACCGCAAACTAAATAAGGAACCTACAATACTCAGAGCTACTCTTCATCTAATATATTTTGAGGAAACATCAAAGGGCCGACTGTCTTAAGTGACGTCATAAAAGGGTTGACGTAATGCTGTTCAGATCACCTCCCTCCTTATGTAACACACTTCAAATCTGTTGATCAGTGAAACTGTTTCCAAAAACATGTCGAATAATTGAATGCTATTTTCTGGTAAACAATGTAAACTTACGCCATCTGCCTTAATTTTCAAAGCAAAAAATTAAAGACAATGTGCACGTGCAAAAGCTCTGACTAAGTACGAGACAGACCCATTCACTTTCTTAAAAGAGGAGGTAACCCCTACAGGCTGAAAACCATTTCCAATTTCATAAATGACCTTGTTGGTAAATTCCAATATTATAAGAGCATTCAAATCGGATGTGGCTTTGCCGGTAAAACGTTAGAATAGTAGTGGTCACATTTAATGATACGCTCAAGAAAACATTTTCAATTACTGAACATTCATGAATGCAGTATCATGATTCAAGGCTCCATGAAAAAGATATTGACCCATAACAGTGGCTAATAAATTAATGTTGATGTAGTCCCGAGATGTATTCAAATCATGTTTGTTTATAGACGTTGTCCACAGGCAATTAAGTGATCGAACGATGTCATCACATTCGGCTCAAATCTGTAGGATTAACATGTGTCCAGTGATTGGTATCATCAAAACTGATACTAAGAAACTTTTAACACAAATGCGTGTCCACAGTTATCTCATGAGAAAAGTAGTGCCTGTTCAGAACTGTAACCTTATATTTATGCTACACGGAGAACGAGATAGATGCATGTGTATGTTTATGTTTGGTCGAAATTATTACTCAGTATTCCGGTTAATCTTGTATCCGCCATCCCGCATTGCACA